GGGGTGCGCTGTCATGGGTGTCTGTCTGGTTAGGAATGTCGGGGATAGGGAGAATGGGGATTTGGGGGAATAGGGGAAGGATAGGAGGAAGGAAGGAAAGGGATGAGGGGGATAGAGATTCTGGGGAAATGGGGAATAGGAGAAGGATAGGAGGAAGGAAGGAAAGGGAGGATGAGAATAGAGATTCTGGGAAAATGGGGAATAGGAGAAGGATAGGAGGAAGGAAGGAAAGGGAGGACGGGGATAGAGATTCTGGGGGAATAGGAAAAGGATAGAAGGAGGAAGGAAAGGAAGAATGGGGATGAAGGTGAGAATGGGATAGATAAGAATGTTGATATGAGATGAGAGAAGTTTTAGGAAGAGAAGGAAGATAAATAACAGAGGAAGAAGGGAGAAAATGTAAGAGGACTAGAGAGCAGGTGCATAAGAAAATTGATAAGCAAGGAGAAGAGAGAACAAGAGATCAAGTTTGAGATTCAACAAGTCTATACATCTTATGGATTATCGAAATATACCGACCAGGTTCTTGACAAATGAATTATCTTAAAGAACCTTATACTGTTGCAATATTATTATCCGTATAAATAACCGATTTTGGAAGCAAATAAAGCACAGAAACGATGAACTGGTAACACCGTATGAATTTATTTATGGTTAAGAAGCTTAGGGTCAATTCCCTAAAACATCAATTCCGAAAGAATTATCACTAGAGTGGGGAGGGAAGGGAGGTAGACAGACCGATAGGTGAAAAAAAGAAAGGGAGATAGAGAATAGAGAAGAGGGAAGAGAACAGAAAATGGAGGGAAGGAACGAGAAGAAAAAAAGAAAAGAAAGGGAGATAGAGAATAGAGAAGAGGGAAGAGAACGGAAGATGGAGGGAAGGAACGAGAAGAAATAAAGAAAAGAAAGAAAGGGAGATAGATAATAGAGAAGAGGGGAGAGAACAGAAAATGGAGGGAAGGAACGAGAGAAAAAGGAAGAGAAAGGGAGATAGATGATAGAGAAGAGAGAAGAGAACAGAAAATGGAGGGAAGGAACAAGAGAAAAAGGAAGAGAAAGGGAGATAGATGATAGAGAAGAGAGAAGAGAACAGAAAATGGAGGGAAGGAACGAGAGAAAAAGGAAGAGAAAGGGAGATAGATGATAGAGAAGAGAGAAGAGAACAGAAAATGGAGGGAAGGAACGAGAAAAAGAAAAGAAAAGAAATTGAGATAGATAATAGAGAAGAGAGAAGGAACGAAAAGATAAAAAAAGAAACAAAAAACAAAAGAAAGAACCCCCTCCCCCCCCCTAATCCCCTTCGACCTTGTGGAATAGAAAAGATTGTTTTGACGCGATCATGTGAACCTCCTCGTCCGGTGGGGGTGTTTGCCTAAGAACCTATGAGGGAAAAGAAAATAAAGAGAAGGAAATGGGTAAATGAGGGAGATGTGAGGAGGAGGAGGAGGAGGGGAATGAGGGAGATAAAAAAAAAAGAGAGAGAGAGAGAGATAAAAAAGGAGGGAGATGTGAGGAGGAGGAGGGGAATAAGGGAGAAAAAAAAGAGAGAGAGAGAGATAAAAAAGAAGGGAGATGTGAGAAGGAGGAGGGGAATAAGGGAGAGAAAAAAAGAGAGAGAGAGAGATAAAAAAGGAGGGAGATGTGAGGAGGAGGAGGAGGAGGAGGGGAATAAGGGAGATAAAAAAAGAGAGAGAGATAAAAAAAAAGGAGGGAGATGTGAGGAGGAGGAGGGGAAGAAGGGAGATAAAAAAAAAAATAAGAGAGAGAGAGAGATAAGAAAAAAAAGGAGAAATGTAAATAGAGAGAAAATTTAATTGAGAGAACGCTAAGATCGGATTATTAAACTTTCGCTATTTATTTAGCCTTCTGGACGGATATTCGGTTGATAAGGGGCAGGGGTAAGGGGGTG